GCCCTTTTTTTTTTTTCCCCCAATTCCACTCTCATTTTCCTCCAATAACAGACTTGGGAGCAGTTTTCCATCAGTAAATTCTCACTCTGTCACTGAAATATATATTTTTAATTACTTATTAGGAAAAAAAAACATACGTATTAAATTTATCCTGCTAGAAGAAATATACCAACTCTGAAACTGTATCTAAGAAAACCTCTTGTTGACTGGAAATCTCTGAACAAGCACACATTCTGCATCTGTGCCCCTTCTGAGCAAGTATAGCAGTACAATCTCTAAGTCAGTTTTCAGGTTTGATTCTCTCCTCCCCAGATTTATGCTGGCTCCATTGACTAAAACAGTATTTCAGTTTCTTATTGAAACTCTTTAACACTGCATAGAGCCTCTGGTACAGACTGCCAACAGCTTTCTCCAGGCACCAATGGTTTCTGCAGAAAAGTCAGTAAGAAAAGCTCATGCTTAATATGCTGAATAGCCAACATTATATATCAAGGCTTTGCACTCTGAGCATCTCTGTATGTCCCAATAATCCTAAAACGCTTTGTGCCTCATCAGACAGTAAATTTTATGTGTATTTCACCAAAATCAACAAGACAGACATCTATATGAGAGGTTAGCACCATTTGAGATCTGGATCTTGATACTACACTGACCTAATCTCTTCTGAAACAAATAAACAAAAAAAAACAACAAGGAAATAAAAAGTAAGCCCCTCTGTTAATGGTCTGAAGTTGTATTATCTGAAATAATGCAATTCTCCCTCCAGTTTTTCTGTAAAAATCCTTTTCTTGTGCTGCAGGGAATAACATTTATAAGGGAAAGGTGGAGATATCACACCAGGCAGTAAATGAGAAAACAACTTTGTCCTGCTCCAGGTAGCACACAGGATGATGACAATCAAATACTTAAAGAATTATTTTCAGCAGTCAGGAGCAATAGTGCACCAGGCAATGACCTCTGTTAGCAGTGATGGGACCAGGGGTCCATAATAAATCACACATTTCCCTACTTTATGTCATCAACCAGCTTACCCAGGGACTTGGAGCTGCTGAGGGCCAGATGATCAACTCCAGAACAAAACCCACATTTAAGACTCAGCATCCACATAGAAGTCTTGTGCAAAACAGCTCGGAGTACAGGTGGTGTATGGAACTGTTAATCTGGTCAAAGGCAGTTATTCTATACATGGGAGCAGGGGATACACACATGTGACTGCATACACATCCCCAGCACATGTGTAGTCTCCTACAATAGTGCCTTGTTTCTCCTACAGTATTACCAAAGGCTGAAAGGTTTGCCTGCTGAGATAAAGCTATTGTAGTGTTAAGAAAAACGTTACTGCTTTTTTAAATGGCCAAAGAACTGCCTCTGGTATGTGAGCTGAGACCTGGTACCAACTCAGCCTTCATGAGACGTGAGAAAAGTATATTCACTTCTGTAATATGAAATGTGTTCTGAGACGCAGAACTCAATTCTGTTATACAGAAGCACAGCGCAAAAGGAAAGGCTGCCCAGTACACATTTTGTTTATGCACTGAATTTATATTCTTGCAATGCAGAATTTTGAGCCACAGCCTCATTCCCCCCTAGCCACAATCCTGCAGCTGTGCAGAAACACATGCCATACTGCACAAACAGGGAAGAGACACATTTTTAATAAGTTGTTCTGACATTTCTACACTATGGCATTTATATTTATTACAGCAAACCATCACAGTGCACATTGCAAATCAATAAAGTGAATGTGAAGCTGTTCATAGCACTCAAAGCCTTGTCCATTACTGTAATATCCAGTTGTTTACAGTGCAGTAGTGAGGCACTTTAGGCCTCACTCAAATATGGCTTTCATTCTCCAATATGATCAAATGCCAACATGCTGTACAATGGCTCCTTTGTGGATCAGGTATATCCCAATTTCAGCCTTGGATAGCACTGCAGAAGTCAAGAGGGTTGTAGTTCACTCACATCATCAGGTAAAGATAAATTAAGTCAAAACCTCAGACCCAAGCTGTTTCCAGAATTAGCAGACTTTTGGCTCAGGTCCCTTTCTCCTCCTTAAACTCTTCTTCCTGATAGAAAGGGATCACAAGGAGAAAGGGGGTGTGTAGACAGAAAAAAATACGTCATCTCAGGCATGCATTCATTGGCAGCTTCCACAAGAGAGGTCTTGAGCTCAGCTCAGAAAGCTATTTCACAGTTTTTTTGGCTGTCTGTGCAAATGTCTATAACTTATTTCCTAACATTTCAGTCTGATCCTGCATGGAACAGACTGCAGAGACAGCCTGCTCTTGCCACATCCCTCCAGTATCCCTGGTATGGGTTATGGAGTGGTCAACTAGCAAGTGCCCTGGAGAGCTTCGCTTCAATTGAGAAGTTAGTTATTAGTATTATTATTCCTACTTCTCACAATAGAAACATTAACCCTTGTGGGAAAACACTTTAAGCAGAGTGCTTGCATTCCAGCTCTTCAAGAAGGAAGCTTTTGTTCTTCTCTCAGAAAGAAGAGAAACAGTCTGCCATAAGTTTCAGGTTAGAAGAGCTGCAGGTGTGGGAGGAGTCTGGCACTGCATGGGAAACTCAGGACACAGAGATTTCAATAAAAAGCTATGAGCAGCACAGGCTAGCTGAAGACAGAGCTGTCTGACCTTATCTCCGACCATCTTCGATAAACACATTGAAAGTAAAACTGAAACTTGCAGTGGATAAAATAAATAATTAGAAGTTAAGTATTCCTAGTTCCCCATACCTCCTATACAATTTGTCCCCAGTGCTCTAACTCCCTAAAATGTTCACCTATACTTTTCCCTTTAAATGTCACATTTGGGGGCGAAGAAAAAAGAACAATCTTATCTTTTCTCTCTTTCCCAGCTATGGATTTCCCTTTTTTCACACCCTTAGTTCATTTCTGTCACACCCACCTCCTCTACTTGCCCTTAATTGATAGAACATCACTCATTACCTCCCTGCAACAGCAAACAGCTTTATTACACTGCTACTGCTACTCCTAACCCCAGCCCCAACTACCTGTTCTGCAGCAACACAGCCCTGGTGCAGAGCCAATTCAGAGCAAACAGCTCAAGCAGGACACACCAGTCCATGCTCACAGATGTGGCTAATGAAGCCAGATTGATCTGTTCAGAGTGGCTCCACCTGGACCAGCACTGCAAGGTTGACTGGCACATTGAGTGAACAGCATTTATATTGTATTAAATACAAGAGGCTGTGCAGCAACTTCAGTTGCATAATATTGTATGCATTGCTATCACCAAGAGAGAAGAACATGAAGAAGAGATGCAGCAGCAAGGAATGGCATGGCTGTGCCTGTGTCAGTACCTGGCCTGAAACCATACGCCTCTTTCAGAAGTCAGTAGGTAGTCAAGGCTGCCTTTCTAAATTGTTACATGATACTGATTAGGAATTCCTGCTTTGCCTGAAGTTACTCAGATGTCAGAAGCAGCCCTGCTGCTTTAGAGCCTTACTATGCTGTTTTTCAAATCCACATTCCTCTGGTGTGTACAAATAAACTCCCCTGCTCCTGCTCCAAAAATATTTAACAGCAGCAGCTCCAGGGATTGTTCACATTACTGAAATGTAATTAGACCTACAGGAAGTGTAGAAACATTTACTAGCTTATTATATTAGCATAAGGAATAATTACACTACCTTCATTTTTTTTAACATAGCTGTAGAAGTACACTTTTTGCTCTGTCAGCACGTGGAGAAGCTGAGAGTTTTGGTAAGCCCACAGGTACGTGTTTATTTTACTCATGGGAAGAGCAAATATCCAAGGTTCCTAAGAACTCTGGAAAAGAGACAAATGCACTACAGCAATTTAACAAAGTGCTTATTCTAATCTGTATAAATATATGCACCACATGTATCTTTTATAATTGTTATGTGTTGTGCTATTTTGGCAATAGCCAGGACTGAAGGCTTTGTCAGCTATGCTTCAATGGACTCATAAAAGCACCTCTATTTAAAAAAAGAGGATTTCATAGTAATGGACACAATTGTAAGAGCTGTCAATGGCTACATTTCATCTCATTGATTTACACTGTGTAGGATGATTGCTTTGATTTGAATCACATATGCTGGAGACGTACTGCATTCAGTGCAAAACAGCCGGATTTCACAAAACAAATGAGCCAGCAAAATCCACTAATTCTCATGTGATGACTGTGAGTGAAAAACTCATGGGGCTATGCTGAGACATGGCTTGCAGTGCAGCAGGGATGGAGGCTGGGTCTCCAAATAACATTTTAAAACTGTCCAAAATGCACCCACAGCATTACCAGGTGGTGAGTTCTAATGCAGAACTCAGTCAAACAAGGCCTCAGAGAACCTCCAGCTACTGTCATACTGCTAGGCATAGGATACCTGGGACTTCCACATTGGATTGGCCCCAGCATCAAAACCTGCTGATGTTTGCTGCTGCCCCAGTTGGGTTGCTTGCAGTCTGGCAGATTTGCGTCACTTTCCTTTTTTCCTCCCCCCTGCAAACCCTCTGTTCAAAGGTAAATGTCTCTGGGACATTTAATATCTTGGAGTTGGACTCTGTGTGCAATGAGCCCTGCTTGTCTTGTACCTTACCCAGACTTTGTTATAGTCTTCATGAGTGATGATCAGAGGTAAAACACCCTGACCAATCTGTGTTCTGCCTCAGCTCTGCTATTACAGTAAATCAGAAGGAAGAGGTTGGGATTTGGCTTCCAGTGCACACCAAAGAACAAGTACAGAGAGATCTTGGTTGCCTCCTGACTCATTTCACATAAATCTCAAGAAGTTACACTTTTATTCCTCTGAAGAATACTAACCATAGTCTGGACACAACCAGTACTGAGTTTTCCTTTTTTCTCTCTCAAATGGGGATTGAGTCTATGTGATCTTACAGTATAAACACATGCACCTTTCCCCCTAAACAATCAGAAAGATCAATGCAGCAGAACAACAAAAAGGCTGGTGCGACAGAAAGGTGTTACAAAAACAAAGCACTCACCCACCTCTGAAGATCCAGGCTCAGATGGAAAACTCCACCAGTTGGGGATTCCCTACCAGAGAACATTCTTTAGAGTCAGGCAGCCCTTAAATGGGGTCTAAGAGAGGTGCAGCCAGGCTCCACCCCTTCTGGTCACAGAGCTGAATTGCCTTCACCTGTGTTCCCAGGGCTGACCGGGTCCTTTCCCCAGGTGCTCAATCAGTGGTTCAGGCCATAACTCAACAGTTACCAGATACCCCTCCATACATCCAACCAAGCACAGAGTAAGGCTTTGTGATCGTTTCTAATGGCTTAAAATTTCAGCTTAAAGATAGGCATTATTCAAAGTGTGTGATGCACAACAAACTTTTCACAAACCCAGTGCACTGTAATAATGGGACAGACTATATTTCCAACACATCTGAGATATTTACCATAAGAGAAACATGAAAAGGTTGGGCTGGATTTAAAAATATAGGGTGTAAGCCTGTGAGATGAGAGATGACTGAGAGCACAGAGCAGGACAAAGGAGCTGGAGCAAGGTCAGAGGAAGGTAAAACCTCTGTGCAGCACGGTGGGGAACCATGCAGGGCTGGAGTCCCAGAGGCAATGCAGATGCACCAGTGCACATGTTAATAAGCTTCATCTCAGTAAAAACGATTACCATGGGCACAGCCTCCTGCTACACCAATTATTCTGCTTTGAGAGCTAGCTTAGTTTCTTCAAGGTGCTCCATTACGAGCATCCTGCTCTGCTCCCATTCCCTGCACAGATGCTTCACTAGCACATGGATCTGCCTTCCAATGGGACACAGCTATCTCATTTCAGCATCCCAAAAATCTTTGTCCTCAACCCCTAAGGGTACAGGAGGGGAAAAGCATGACTTCTGAAGCCAAAGAAATAAAGTTTTAATCATAATTATAAGGTTACTGCATCACATTGCAAGAGGAATGGGGGAACTTTCCAGTGTCTTTTTCTTAAGTGTTATTTTAACTGAATTAACTTCAGTTGAGCTTTCTGTGACTTATAAGCTTTCTATGACTTGCTTGGGGGATAATTACATCTATTTGGAGTATCTTATACTGAAGTGATTGATAGATATATCAGTCTTGACTTAATCTTAATGCGGGGGATTTTGCAGAGCTCAAGAACCATTTCCCACTGAACTTATATTTCAACCATTTGAAGCCACTACTGGACCTACTCTCCTTACACAAAGGTCCAGATGCAGAATTAAGTCTGAAATCAGATTTTGGCACTTAAATTTAGATCTTTGTGAAAATCAGTCATTTTGCAAAGCCTCTGAAGTCCACTTTGAGGGCATGGACCGGACAGCAAGGAACTTGGCGCAGCTTGTTCGGAGATGTCCCTGGAGATGCCAGGTGAGGGTCAGGTGACGTTAAGTAAAGGTTCTGCCCCATAGGACGGTGGGCACAGAGCTGCTGGAGTTGAAGGAATGATTGTACAGCATTCTCAGACATAGGGTTTGATTTTTGGTGCTGTGTGGAGCCAGGAGCTGGACTTGATGGTCAGTGATATCCCACACAGATTCCCACACGAACCTGTGCATGAGCATGCTGGGGAGCCACACCTTGTGAAACTTCCATGAATTGGTGTGGACAGTATGGAAACAGAGGGAAGGGTCAGTTTTCTTCTGGCTGCTTAACACAGACAAAGCTGAGTGCTGTGCTGTGCTGTGTGCCATTGGCCTCACACAAAGCCAAGGTCAATGGGAGGGAGAGGCAGAGGAAAATGTGCATTAGGGGAAAAGAGACCACAGGCACGCCTGCTGGGAGCCAGCGTGTGGCCCAGGGATGGGGCATGTGTGAGACAGAGAGGGTGAGCAGATGAGGGACCTGCCAGCAGCAAGTGTGAAGATGAACACCCAGTAGTGACAATGATGTTGTGGCCAATCAATGATGCTTGATGCATGGGGGACGGGATAGATGTCATTATTCTACAAAACTATATACAGGCAAAAACAAAGCCATCTTTTCTAAATAAAAATGAAAAAGAAGTGACAGGGGAAAAGCAAAATATTTGTGAAATGATTTAAACAAAGAAGTAAATCCAAGGAATATATATATATTTTTCCCCACCGATATGATGTACTGTATAGTTTACAAGAGAAGAAAGAAAAAAATCAATCCACGGCAATATCTGATGTGCTTCTGTATAATAAACTGCTCTGCAATTATATGAGCAAGGTGGTGGTGGTGGAGACGGGAGGTATGGGATTTCGTGTCTCCAAATGTGCTGGGTTTGTATCATCCTGTCACCAATTGTTCAATATTGTGATACCGGACAATCTCCAGTGTTTTTCCCAGTAGGTCAGTGAACTTATTTTCTTATCAAGCCTTAAGGCAGGTGCAGACATGAGGAAGGCATTTGCCTTTGTTTTTCTCCTTCAGCCCTGCCCAGCAGCTCCTTAGTATGCAGAGCCAGTGATTCAGCCACACAACTTTCCTCCTCCCCGTATTTTCTTTGCGAGGATTGCGGCGGAAAGCACAATGGGGAGAAGTTTCATCTCCCCCGTATGATGCGAATGAGAGCAATGTCTAATGCCTGCTGTAGAAGGTGGCATTTTAATTATCGCAGCGCGCTCCAGCAGGCACAGGTACACATCTGCCTACGTCCGTGCACACACCCAGCACCAAGAAGCTCTTCCTCCTCCTCTGATCTCTTCCTCGCCTTTATGCAACCCGGGGAACGTGGGCTGATTGGAAAGGTCTCTTTCCTTGATAACAACAATTCAATGCGCCTTGACATTTTAATAGCCTGCCGTCCTAGTGAACACAATCGAGCTGAGCAGTGAAGCAAAAATCATTAGGTAAGCAAGATAATCTAAACGAAAAATCAGCCTCAACCGGCTTCCCACATCTGGGGTACAGCTGGGCAGCGGCTGCCCTTTCCCGCTTCCGAGCAGCAATCCTCTCCTGGGAAGGCCGATGAGGGAAAGACGAGCGTCTGCGGATTTATGGCGGGGGGACCCGGCCCGCCTGCCCCCCGCCCCTCCCCTCCCACCGCCCTCTCCATCGCGGGGAGATGCTGACTCCGCAAGCCGCCCGCTTTATGAATATGACCCTCAAAGGGAAGCAGCCCTCTCGCAAAGCCCAGAACTATGTTATCATCGTTATTAAGGAGCTTAAAAAGGAGCCGGGAAGAGGAGACACCGGTGGAATTGCAGCCTGATTGTGATTGATGTGTTCCTATTAGCTCCTCACTGTTATCTCTCTGGATGGCAAGAACAGCCAGTGGCTTGTAACACAACAGATTACCTGAGTTCTCAGCCCTAGACGGATGTTTAAATAAAATATAGTCCCTTTTAGCGAGAAGCTCATTTTCTCTCTGAGGCTCCCAGACTATTTCATGTCAGCTGTGATTCGCTGTGACTCTCCTCAGTAAACATGTCTTATCATTAATAATTCTTTACAAGCACAATTTCATGGAGGCTTCTGTCTGCCCACATAGCAGAGGAGGGGGTGTGCATGCGCACAGCCTCGTCGTGAGGCGGTGTGGGAAGCAAGGTGCTTCTCCTCAGAATTTCACCTGCCTTGCCAAAAATGATTGATGACCCCAAGCAGACTGGGTGTCCAGCTATACCCAACAAATGACTTTGGCCCCTAACAACAGGCCTTGGCCAGATAGAAATCAATATTTCACCATTAAAATCTATCAAAGAAGAGTTAAGGCACCATCTGTCCCTGCCGCCTTTCCATGGTGTGTGAACATTAAATCCGACACTTGTAGTACATGAGTAATCAATATATAGTAGTTCACAGATCATTTGTGGTCCCCTTTTAGCAGTGATGGATGCTTGGAATAGTTGTGATTCATTTTGTCACACCATTAAACAAGATTCTGTCCAGTTCCTTCCTGATTTCATTTAGAGGATCATTCTTCACAGTTCATAAGAGAGAAACGGTTTTACCAATCTGCTTCTATTTCAATAAGTCACTTTATAGAGATTTTGTGTCCTGCAGACTGTAAAAATTCTGGAGAGATAGTACAAACATACCTCTAAAACTATTCACTGCATGACATATGCATAAAGTGTGAAAAACTGAATGTAAATATGTTTACCTCTTTATCTACAAATATTGGTTTTAACCCTCCCTGTACTGGAGGGGGCTCAAGGCAGAAGCACATGCAAATGCAGCAGTGCCTAGGACAGGTGTAGGCAGTTTTGGAAACAGGCTGTAATTAAAAACAGGAATAAAACCACTGCAAGCTCACTGATAGATTTTCACTCCTGAAATTGAAATGGAGAAGCCTTGGTAAAATAAACACCTTTCTTAATTGCTTTAGCTGATGTTCGCCCTCTGAATTGTTCATTTTATATACGGACAATAAATGTGTAATTGCCGAACACATTTTTAATGGTTACACAGAAATGGTCCCCCTTTTTTTTTTTTTAAACTTTTCTTTTAATTGCCATTATTATGCAGTCTTTTTTCTTTTGGGGGGAAGGATAAGAATTTCATATTAAAGTTCCTTAGCTTATTAACCTCATAAAGGATCTGCTCTTTCAATGCTCACTCCATTCAATCAGATGATGGTGTAGCTGGGCTTCACGATGGGGCTTCTTAGAATTGCTGTTAAGTATTACCTGTGAAAATGCTATGTGGCAAAAAGAGCAGATGGAAATGAGCACCATTTGCGTGTCCAAAGAAGGGCAATGAAGCTGTGAAGGGTATGGAGAACAAGTCCTACAGGGAGAGGCTAAGGGAATGGGATTGCTCAGCCTCAGCTCACAGGTAGCAGTGATAGGATGAGAGGTGATGGCCTCAAGTTCTACCAGGGGAGGTTCAGGTTGGAAATTAGGAACAATTTCTTCCCAGAAAGAGTGGTGATGCAGTGGCACAGGCTGCCCAAGGAGGTGGTGGAGTCACTGTCCCAGGAGATGCTCAAGAAACGTGGAGATGTGGCACTGAGGGATGTGGTCAGTGGACAGTACTGGTGGACAGCTGGACTGTATGACCTTTGTGGTCTTTTCCAGCCCTAATGATTCTATGATTCTATAATCATCTCTACTCTTCAAACACTATGCAATGTGCCCCTGTTTAGCTGA